CCAGGAGACTTCCCCCTCCTCATTAGCATATCTACTGATGTTGTTCCCCCAGGTCTTGTTCATGGAGTTATTTCTGGGAAAGATGGCCTCACAGCAGACATCCTCTACTCTGGCTCTTATGGTCTTTCTGTTCAGTCCTCCACAATGTTCCCTGAGTCACAGATGCAGGGGCTGTGACGTAGATGTATCCAACGGGGCTGAGATCTCCATGATCTGTTGACTATGTGTCGTGTCTAGTTGTGATTTTCTGCAGTGGTCTCCACTTACTGTAAGGAGAAGCTTCTATTCCCCACTCCTTCCATCCCCCCGAGTCAGGGTTTTTCTGTGTAGCCCTGACTGGCCTGGAACTCGCTTTGTAAATCAGGCTGGACTTCAGCTCATAGATAGCTGCCTGCCTCTGTCTCCCAAGAGCTGGGATTAAAGGCACATGCCACCAATGTCCTAAAAGAGAAGCTTCTTGAGGGGTGATAGCTACACTTACCTGTGGGTATAAGGACAAGGTTTAGAATGTAGTCAGAATATTGTTGGCCTAGCAGAGGGGCATTAGTAGATTCTCTTCTAATATCCAAGATCTCACTAGCCCTGGGAAGTTAGCTAGGTTTCTAATCATAGGCATGATTTCCCTCCTATTGAGTGGGCCTTAGGTCTAATTAGAAAGCAGTTGATTATTGCGTGTGAGTGCCACTTACCACACCTTTATGGATGTCTTGCCATGATGGTCATAGTGGTTCTGCTGTAGTATGAATAAGAATGGCCCCAGAGGCTCATATATTTGAAATCTTAGTTACCAGGGAGTGAAGGTATTAGAAGGATTAGGAGGTGTGACCTTGTGCAAGAAAGGATGTCGCTCTCAGCTGCTGCTCCAGCACCATGCATGCCGCCATCTCCCCAGCATGATGAGAATGGGCTAAGCCTCTGAAACTCTAAGCAAGCCTTGGTCATGGTGTCTCTTCACAGCAATAGAACAATGACTAAGACAGGTTCATAGGTGGTTCATAGGTGTTGAAGCTGGGTAGGACTCTTGCTTCTCTCTCTTGGCAGTTTGAGGGATATTTTCTGGTACCATGGAGGCTAGACTGCTGGAGGGCTTTCAGGTTAGATCCATCTGGAATAATCATGTGTCCTAAGCATCCAGTGTCCTCAGCAATGGGGACTTAGCTTCAACCTCTGTGAGGCAACTGAGGGTAACATCCATCGTCTGTGTTGTTTTGAGAGTTACGTGGACTACCCTGACCAACCATCCTGAAGGAGATTTCACATGCTTGGGACTGGGGTTTTCGTTAGCCTATGGTTCTTGTGGAAAGCTTTGTTAGCACTAAGGGCATGCCTTTCCATATATATATATATAGACTCTGAATTCAGTGATCTGAGTTTGCATCTTGGTGGAACCTTTTCCTTGAGGAAGAGACCTGGTCAGTTATCCTCATCAACTCAGACCATGAAACCCAACATAAACGAGTTGCCCATGCATGCTGCAGCACTGTTGGGGGCATGCTGGAAATGCAGATTGGTGCAGCCACTCTAGAAATTTTGTTTCATATGTGTGTGTGTGTTTGTGTATGTATGCACACACACGTGTGTATATGTATGTATGTACTGTATACACACACATATATGTACCTATACACATATATAGTTTGATTTTTAGGTAATATAAAATAATAAGATTCTTTGAAGTTTCATCAAGCAACCTTGGTGTTATTTGTCCTTCGTCCCCCCTTCTCTTTCTATATTGCCCTCCTTTTCCCTCCCCAGTTGGAGCCCCCTGCCCGGTTTTTCTGTTTCTCACTTCCAATCACCTGTATTCTGCTATTCCTCTCTCAAGCCACCCTCCCCAAATCCCCTCAGCCTTTCTATTTCCCTGGTTTCTGTGCTTATTCTATATTGTGTACACACTTCTGAAGATTTGGAGCTGGAAACCACAGATGAGAGAAAACATTCAGTGTTTGTCTTTCTGAGTCTGTATTATCTCACTCAATAGAATCTTTCTAGGTTCATCTATTTGCCTGAGAAGATCATAATTTAATTTTTCTTTACAGCTTAATAGTGTTCCATGTTTATTATCTGCGTTTTAATTACCCATTCACCAGCGAGGGACATTTCGGTTGTTTGTATTTCCTGGTTATTGTGAGGAGGGTAGCAATGAACATGGCTGACCAGTATCTATGAAGGAGGTTCTCAAGTCTGTTGGGCATATGCCAAGGTGTGGTATAGTTGGGTCATGGTAGATTTATTTACACATAGATCCTCTTGCCTCTGACTCCCTAGTGCTGGGATTAAAGAGGTGAGTTACAACTGCCTGGCTTTGATAAGCACTTTTTGGAATATTTCTTAGCCATTTTTGTTTCTTCTTTTTGGAACTCTCTGTCTGATGGAAACCATTACAGAAACCCACAACCAATAAAAAAAAATTTAGGGTTGTGGAGTCCAGTCCCAACTAATAAATCTACACAGCTCCTGCACCTAAGGCTTGGGGATCACTGAGGAAGAGAGGGTTGAAAGATTGTAAGAGTTGGAGGAATAGGGAGTTTGTCGTGAGATTCTTGCCCCCTAGTAATGTCAGAAGGTACACTCATAAAGTCTCACCGACGTGACTGCCTAACATGAGATGAACAAGGATGACACAAATAGACACGCCAACATGGATGAGGGAAAGCTCACAAGCCCAACCCTACACAAAAACTACAGGTAAAAAGGAATGCTGGGAGGGGGAAGAGCACACCAGTTGCTTATCCAGTACCAAATGCTCATTCCTGAAAACACACATAAAGTAACATTATCCAGACTGAGCAGTTTGTATTTAGGATCACACACACATGTATCACACATGCACGTGTGTGTGTATGTATACACTATAAGTATATATTTTAATGGAAAAAAGAGATCATTGTTGTTTCTAGAAATTTTCTGGTGGAATCTGTGGTTTCTCCTATGTATACATAGCATATCATCTGAAAATAGGGATTATTTGGCTTCTTCTAGCATGCTATTGGATTTAGTTTGCCTGTAGCTGGGTGACGATTTTACGTTAGTATTTACAAGGGACATTTGTCTATAGCTTTCTGGTGTAACAGGCCTCACGAGATGACTTAGGAAGAATCCTCTCCAATTTTTCTTTGAAGAGCTTGGGAAAGTTTGATGTTAATTATTCAACCACTTGACAGAATTTGTCATGAAGCCGTTAAGTAAAGGCCTTTTCTATACTGGGAAGTTATTAGATTTCTTTTCTTTTGATTACTAAGTCAGACTTACTGACTGTAAGTCTTCAGGGTTTCCATTCCTCCACGAATAAGTTTTGGCAGATTGTCTCCTCCAAGGAGTTTGTACATTTCACCCAGCTGATAGTATAAACAATTAGGGATGCAATAATAAAACATCTTTACACAATAGGTGTGTTGCCACACCTTTTATGGTGTAATAAGATGGAGTGATTTGTAAACAGAAGGTTATTATTACAATTTGGGTGGCTGAATTGGTCAAGATCAAGAAATACTGAGTAGGTATGATGCCTGGTAAGAGGACCAGGTTTTCCTCCAAAGGAGGGGAGCACGGTGTCTTCACATGGCAGAAGGAATGGGAGAGGAGAGTGTGACTCCTTCACCAAGCCCTGTAATAACGATTCCGGATGCTGTTAGGAAGGTGAATCACTGTGACTCAATGGCCTCCTAAGGGCCATGGCTCATGATGCCCTTGCACTTGGGATGAATTCATGTGAATTCTGGAAGGGACACGAACATTAAAGCTGTATCAGTTATCCAGTTTGTTGGAGTAAAATGCTTCTGCCAACTCTCTTACAAGCCTCTTTATTTATGTAAAATCTACAGCAAATTCCTCTTTTTATTTATGAGTTCAGGATTTTTTTTATTTCTTAGTCAATCTAGGTATTGTCAATTGTATTAACCTCCTCAAAGAACCAACTTTTAGATGTGACCCCCCCTCCATATTTTCCTCCTCTCTGTTTGATTATCTACTGCAGTTTTTATTTTCTTTCTTCTGTAAATTTGAGTTTAGTCTTTTTCCCTCTGATTCCTAGAGCAGTCACGTCAGGTTGCTGACTTGAGATCTTTCTGGGCGAGTGTTCTTAGCTGTAACTCTCTTCCCTAGTGCTGCTTTTACTGGACCCCATTCATTTGGGGAGGCTATATTCTCATGCCAGAGTGTATGTAGCTCAGAGGTAGAATGTTGAGGCCCTACATTTGATCTTTAACAAAACACAGACACACACACACACACACACACACACACACACACACACACACACACACGTTGGAGGGGTGAGAATATTGTGTTCTCATTTTCATCATATCTAAGCACCTCCTAACCTCTCCAGGGTTTCTTGTGTATATGTGTGTGTACGTGTGTGTGTGTGTATGTGTGTTATGCCCAATCCACGGGGACCCCAAAAGACCACCAGGGAGACCGACTCACTGAAATGTAAAAGCAAGGTTTATTGTGTGCATGATTACAAGCTGGTAGGGGCCTCATCAGCGCAGCAGCGAGAGGAGGTACCCTGCTCTTCTAAAGGGTATTGTTTAAAGGCAAAAAACAGAAAAGTTATATTAGCAGGGTGTGGGTGATGGGTTCAATCCTGATTGGCTGAAATTTGTCTAGGAGTGTTCTGGTGAAACGGTGATGTCTGTGTGCTGGCAGGTGATCCTATCTACAATGGTTGGAACACTAGGAATTTCCTTTGGATGGTCTGTTCCTAGGTGGTGCCTGGGTGGTCTCAGTTTGTGGACATCCAAATGGTGAGCGTGGCTGTGATCACCTTGGCGCTGGTTTTCCTGAAAATACATTGTCTTGTCCTTAGGTTGAGTGACTTCAACTTTAGTCATCTCAGCATCCTGCTCCTTCCCCTGGAGCCAAGAGAGTCTAGAGTGAGGGACCAGGAACCATTCCAGGACAGGAGCTGCCTTGCGCTAAGGCAAACAACTCATTGTTCAAGAGTGTGTTTTTACATTAAAATACATTCGTGATTTCTGGTTTTCCTTCTATTATAGGCTTCCAGCCTCATCTCATTGTGGACGGTTTGATTTGTGGCCTAGCATATGGTCTAGCTGGAGAAGGCCCAGGTACCTGATAAAAGAGCCATAATCTTTTTGTTTACGAGTACGGTGTTCTGCATGCTAGTCAGGTCAGGCATTTTCTAGTTTCATTAGTCCATTTATTTCACAATAATGATATTGTACGGCACACCTTTTTCTTACATAACCCAGTTTCCTTGGGTTATGTGCCTGAGCATGCAAAGTTCTAGAAAGCTACTCTGGTTCTGTTGTAGGCGTCACAGCAGGCATGAGGGAGGTGGGGGGTGGATAACTTTCACGGAAGCGTATTGCTTCTGAAGTGGGGCTGAGGGAGTCTAGGATACTGATGATTGTCCCAGTCATAACCTCAGGCCAGCTGAGCAGGGGAGACTGCAGCCTGTCCCCTTGCTTCTCTCAGCGATGACTTTGGGAAGCTCCCTGGCCCCTCTACTGAGCTGAAGAGGGGTGTCCGCATCTCCAGATGGGCGGAGTTCAGCACCTTCTGGGTAACAAACGCTTCCATATCTCCACACCCCCAACTCTTCTTTCTATCTACTCTGTGGCGAATAGTTCTCGCAATCTCCGTCAGTCCTGTGCAGACGGAGAGGATGTCCCCTCCACCCGGGTCTCTTGCTTCCTGCCCTGTGGCTTCTCTGAGGCTTTGCAGTCCGCTCAACGATCCCATTAGCACAGTGGGAATTTTGAGGACACAGGGCTCCCAAGGCCAGTCTTCACCAGTGAGAAAGGGCAACCGCCAACACAAGCTGTTTCATCCTTTTGTTCCCTTGGCACAGACTCATTTACGTGTTCTCTTTCAGCCTGCTGTGGCGGTACATCCGCAATCCCTGCACTTTGGGTGGCTGAAGTAAGAAGACTGCTGTAAATTCAAGACCAGCTGGAGTTACACAGCAAGTTCACGGCAGGCCTGAGCTACAGAGAGAGAGCTTAGCTAAACAATACCAGTAAATAACTAAATAAATGAATAAGTAAACAAATAACTCCTTTAAATGTGTTAATCTGAAAATAAAAAAATTACCATTGGTCAACTTTAAAAATATTTATTTTTGAGCTGATGAGATGGCTCAGCGGTTAAGAGCATTCATTGCCTGCTCTTCTAAAGGTCCCGAGTTCAATTCCCGGCAACCACCTGGTGGCTCACAACCATCTGTAATGAGGTCTGGTGCCCTCTTCTGACTGCAGGCATACATGCAGACAGAATATTGTATACATAATAAATAAATATAAAAATATTTATTTCTAGATTATGTGTATGCATGTGTATACATGCACTGTGTGCAGGCATGGTGTCTAAAGAAGCCAGAGGAAGGCATCCGATCTCCTGGAATTGTAATTACAGAAGCTTAGAAGTTGCCAGGTGGGTGTGGGGAATTGAACCTGGGTCCTCTGCAAGAGCGGCAAGTGCTCTTAACCATTGAGAAGTCTCTCCAGCCTCGCGGTAAAGTTTTTTTGGCTTAAGCTTCAATATCACTGTTCATCACCAAAGGAAGTCAGCACAGGAACTCACACAGGGCAGGATCCTGGAGGCAGGAGCTGATGTGGAGCTCATGGAGGATGCTGCTTACTGGCTTGCTCCCCATGGCTTGCTCAGTCTACTTTCTTATAGAACCCAGAACCATCAGCACAGGAATGACCCTATCCACACTGGGCTAGGACCTCGTCCATCAATCATTAATTAAGAAATCACCCTACAGGTTTGCTTATAGCCCAGGTGTGTAGATGCATTTTCTCAATTGAGACAAGTTGACATTAGCCAACACAAACAGTAAGATATGAATGTTTATATAACAGCAAAAATGAATGAGTGGCAGTGTCGAGTGTTAGCAAGGGTATAGAGCAATTACCGTCCTTATCTCTTACTACTGGAAGGGTAGGTTGGCTGAAGCCTCTTCTGAAATCCTCTTTATCATATATGCTGATCTTGAACACACCCACCAATCTATGACCTGACAACTCCAACTTCTAAGAATATACTCCCCAAGATGAGCTCAGTTGATTCTCCAAAGACTGGCACAATCAACATTATTCACCAAAGTCCGAACTGAAAAGAATGCAAATGCCGTAGTCAGTGGACAGATTGAGTAGACAGCTATGAGTTGATTCAGTTGAACACTGTGCAGCAGTAAGAATGGGCTGGGTATTGTTACATGCACTAAAATATAAGAATCTTACAAAGGAACAAGACTAGGTTAAAAGCAGAAAAGTATATGTAATGTTATGTAAGCCTATGTATAAACATTTCAAAATTAGGCAAAATTGACATATAGTATTAGAAATCATGGTTATCTTGGGAAGTGTTGATTAGAAAACAAAAAAGGATTTAGATGATAGTGACTCGTAACTGTCCCTCAGTCTCTTAGGTGATTCTGTTTAAGTCCAGTCAGGTTGACAATAAAGATTAACCATCACAAAACCCTGTACTTAAAGCTCACAATGTCATATACTATTATTATAGCATGATGTGTAATCTCCCTGCCAAAAACATCCTCTGTGCTCTGACTGTTGATCACTTCCTTTTTTCTTAATCTCTCCTAACCACTGATCTTTCCAAAATTTTTATTTTATGTGTATGGGTATTTTCATGTGTACTACATGTGTGACTGGCATCTGTGGAAGCCAGAAGGGGATATCAGATCTTCTGGCCCTGAAGTTACAGAGTTATGGATAGTTGTGAACCACCATGTGGCTGCTGGGAATTGGACCTGGGGCCTTTGGAAGATCAGCCAGTGCTCTTAACTGCTGAGCCATCTCTCTAGTTCCATCAATGATGTTTTTGTTGTCTTCACAGTTCTACTTTTTCTTGAATATCATATTAAAGTATTAATTATAATTAAAGTATGTGCCCTTTTCTGATTGGCACCTTTCATTTAATAATATAAATAATGTTTGTAGCATGTCTCTTCATGGCTTATTTTTTTTAGCACCGAATATTTTATCTTCTGAATGTATCAGTTTATTTATCCATCCACATACTAAAGGATATCATGATGGCTTCCCCATTTTTGCAGCTTTGAATAAAAGTATCATAAACATCCATGTATAGGTTGTTATGTAGATTGTTTTAAATTGCTTTGGGTAAGTGCTAGTCAGGGCAATTGATAGCACCCTGAAAAGAGTGTGTTATCCAGGTGTGGTGGTGTATACCTGTAATCCCAGCACTCAGGAGGGAGAGGCAGGAGGACCTCTGTGAGTTCAAGGCCAGCCTGGTCTACAGAGTGAATGAGTTCTAGGACAGCCAGGGCTACACAGAAAAACCTTGTCTTGGAAAACACACAGACTCAAAAGATTATATTTAGGTTTACAAGAAACCTCAAAACGACCTTCCCAGAGAGGCTGCAAGAATTTTCTTTCACAATGGCAACCAACAGTGTTCCCATTGCTCTGTACATTTTTGTTTTTAAACCTCTATTTTCTCCTTTGTTAATATAAATAAAGCAAAAACTAAAGTCCTGATAAGTATTAATACATTATAGGCTATAAAACAATCCAACTCTGAATATGGGTGCCTTTTTAAAAATTAAAAAAAATTTTTTTTTTAAGACAGGGTTTCTCTGTATAATAGCTCTGGCTGTCCTAGAACTCACTTTGTAGACCAGGCTGGCCTTGAACTCATAGAGATCTGCCTGCCTCTGTCTGGGATTAAAGGCGCATGCTATCACCACCCAGTAACAATCCAACTCTGACTTTAAAATATGAAGACAAAAATGCTTTAATGAATTGGCATTTTCAGATTTTATTCTTTCTCTAAGTTTACTGTTGTGCCCTCCTAAAGTCAAACAAAACATCAAAACAACCATTTATTGTTGTTTATTATTATTGTTGTTGTTATTATTTGAGTGGGACACTTGCTGTATTGGTCATGTTGATCTTGAGTTATGCACTCAAATGTTCCTCCCGCCTCAGCTACCTTTGGATTTGGTATTAACAGATGTGCTAGCTGTACATCACATCTGTCTGTCTGGCAACTGCTTTAAAAGTTAGGAATTCTCCTAACGACTGCTAAGATGAATGAGTACCTGCCATGCACAGGCACACAGTCAGTGGGGCCAAAGCTTTGTTCTCTACGCCAGACTCTTAAGTTCAGATAGTTCCCATCTCTAAAAACTGTCCTCACCTAACATGCTCATGCAACTCACTATCTCTAATACCTACCTACTTCCTTCCATTTTCTCTTCTTATTACTAAACAATGATCAACCTTTGCAATTATGCAGACCCAAAATGTTGTGACACGGGACTTTCCATCACCTTTCAAATACCCTGCCAATCTTCTCATTCTCATCCTTGTTGTAAGTAAATCGTCCATGAATATCTGTTGAATAAACATTTTTTTTTTTTTAGTATTGGTTTCTCTTCTTTGGACCCTTACAATTTTTGAATGCTTCAAACTGGCTATGTCAATCAATGTTAATGCTTAGCTAAAATTTGCAAAGTTCCGGGTTCCAGCCCCAGCACAAAATAAACAAAAACTGTGTTCTATCAAAGAGAAATGCACAGTATTGATAATTCTCATCATGCAAACTACAATCAGAATAGTAAGTGCTGAACTGGGGTCCCACCGAATTTATTGCCATCCACATGAATTCTGAATTTAGCCTCAGTGTGCACTGAATGCTAGGTGGCTTATCTAATCAAATGGGATCAAAGGCGTTTGAGTAGAATATTTTATGGAAGGTATACTAGCAGCTGAAGGTAAAACTGCCTGTCAAAACTGGCTCACCTCTTCAACCTTGAAAAAAAATGCTTTTCAAATCTTCCTAGTTGTGTGTTCCAATATCAGCTTTCCACCACTTCTCTTTCATGATTTCTTGAGTACATACAACTTTCTAATGTCCTCAATATGAAAATGCTTTACTCTTCACAATAGGGCATTTGATTATATGCTATTAGCAGGACTAAAACCAGAGTCCCGAAGAGCTCTTTCAACCACTCACTTTTCTTGGTTCAAACACTGTCTGGAGACTGAAAGGAACATCCATTATACCTGGGTTGAGGTGCGGTGGTTTCTGCAGTAAATGCAGATTCTGTACTTGGAGAAATTCCACCCAATGTTCGTGTACACTTTGCTTTCCTTTTATTGGGAAAAAAATATGTGTGATCTGATATCTTTGCTGAGGAATTCTTCAACTCGCCCTCCAAGATCCTTTATGTCTGTAGTTTGTAGATATGGCAACAGAAGGCAAGGCAAGATAGACTATCATACTCCAAAAGTGGCTTTTGTTTGGATTTTTCTGATCTGCTATCAGTTTTCAGAGGTTCCGAAGATGATTTGTTAAAGTTTGTTTTGGATTCCACGTGGGAAATGTCCTTTGCTGTGGATCCTCATGGTCTTGGGCTTCATGGAAGCTGCCAGCCACCTACAGCTGGGGCAGGATTGGGTTCCTCATCCACTGGCCAGAGAAACCAGGCTTTGCTGGTCTAGTAGTCTGTGCAGCTGCCTCCACCTTTTCACCAGCCATATCTTTGAGGCTGCAGAGTTGAGCTGCTCTGCAGGCTGAGTTTCTGGGCTGGCTCTAGCTCTAAGGTATGAGCAGGGAGGGATAAAAGACTCAGTATCCTTTAAATAATTATTTATATTATTATTGCCGGTGTGTGTGTGTGTGTGTGTGTGCGCGCGCGGGCACATGTGTAGAATGCAGGCACACAAATGCCATGCCACATATATCGTTAGAGAACATCTTAGGAGTTGCTTCCCCTTTCTTCACCTTGTGTTTGTGGGTTGAACTCAGGACACGGGTGTTTATTGCTCAGCCATCTCACCAGACCGGCTCTCTTCTTCCTTGATCATATCTGTTGTCGTGTTTTGGAATTCAGCTTT